TCACTTTTGTGGCCAGCGGTTTAGACATTAATGGCTGTGTGTTGAGTTATTTTGAGGGGACAGCAAATTTACACTGTTATACAAGCTGTACACTCCCTACTTTACATTGTAGCAAAGTGTCATTTCTTCAGTGTTGTCACATGAAAAGATATAATAAAATATTTACAAAAATGTGAGGGGTGTACTCACTTCTGTGAGATACTGTATATGTGTATGTATATATTTATCAGTCTGGCGAGTAAACAAAAAAATTTACTAGCCAATGGCGATTCAATTGCCAAGGTGTTCGTAGAGGGCTGTGTAGTTGTTGATATTCTGTTTTACTCTGACTTTTAAACATTTGTCTAATTCTTTCTAATTATTGTGTAATATTAATAATAACAATATGCAAGCAGGTTTTATGACCAGTTACAGCATCTGAAAGATACATTTCTTTATACATTCATATGCATTTGAAGAGTGTATGTCCATGTTGTTTGACAGCTACCTGTATGTGTATCAGTATGTGCTGATGTTGTTTTTGTCTTCTCTTGTAGTTGTGGGAGGTTTATAATGACAGGAGATGTGCGCGGACGTTTATTGGTGAGTCTTGTCATTTTTCTGTGCTCTGGTCTGGTTTAGCCGGAGAGTCACACACAGTTCATTACAGACTAGAGCTGGGTTTTGACACAAATTTCACGATTCGATTCTCATTTACAAGCTTGCGATTCGATTCAATATTGATTATTTTGGATATATATCAGGTACAGTACATGCCAAATTTTCTCAAGGAAAAAAATCTCTCAACTAATGCTGTAAAATATACATGAGAGTCAGTTGGTACTACATTACTATAATATTGAAGGTTAAAATTTACTGATTTGTTAAAATTACACTTAATGAAGTTTTTAAAATAATAAAGTTACAATTACATAATATTTCTACTTCAAAATTTTTTTTTTTTTTAATATAAACATAATGGTGGTTGTCATAAAACTTGATGGATTTATTCAAACATAAATTAAACATTGAAGAACAGTAAAATTTATAATGAATGTTATATTGTGCATATATTTAGCAAAATGCCCCTCTCTACAGTTTATTTTTCTATCTGACTAATGAGTTTATGGTCACCGAATATGTTTTTTCTGAGGTAAATGTTACGTGACATTGTTTACAAGCCGTTATATTGGCGTCTTTGCGCGGCTGAAACACAGATTGAGAGATTACATGAGACAGGATACGGATTGTAAAGTTGTACTTTCTTTTAACTTACCTTCAGATGTTTAGTCATGTTTATTTTGTGCTGAAACTGGTATTAATGTGGAGGAGATCAGTTCACGTGCGCCTCGTGCTGCCGCTTTTATTGAACTGAGGCACTACAGCGATCTGTCACTCGTTACGTGACATTGTTTACAAGCCGTTATATTGACGTCTTTGCGTGGCTGAAACACTGATTGAGCGATTACATGAGACAGGATACGGATTGTAAAGTTGTACTCTTTCTTTTAACTTACCTTCGGATGTTTAGTCATGTTTATTTTGTGCTATAACTAGTAATAAAGTGGAGGAGATACTTCAGCGATCTGTCACTCCACATTAAACAGCGCCAAAATGGCATTTATTGTTTAAATACTGCAATACAATGGACATAAATTGAAATCTGAGACTTTGTTTCATATTAAAAGTACCAAAGCACAATACTTATTGCGATTTATTGCATGGGAAGTGCCCTTCAATGTTCCGTCCATTAACTGAAAACAGGCTAGACTAATCGATTCTTGAGATTTAAGAATCGATATCGTTCCGTAAAAATGAGAATCGATTAATATCGAGATATCGATATTTTTTACCCAGCCCTATTACAGACGCTCTCTGTCTGAGTGATGTGCTTGAATGACTCTGAGAGAGATGCGAGTGATGATTCTCCTGCGTTTCGTCAGGAGACACACAGGAGAAGAGCTGAACGAGATTCATGAGACATCAGAGCTCAGTATCTCAGTCATGTTTCATTCATTCAGCTTCATTAGACCATTGTGAAACTGAGACTGAAAACATGGTGTTCTGGACTCAATCATATGTTTTTATGCCTTACACTTGAAGTTTGTTTTAGTAGAACATCTATGAACCTGAATGCGATCTAAAATGGGGAAAAAATGATAAAAAAATAAATAAAATTAAAACCAGGCTGTTAGAATAATATAATAATATTATACAATCTAAAATAGCAAAATAATAATAATTCAGTAATAATAATAATAAATGATAATTCAAACAGTCTGCTTGAATAATATTATGCAATCTAAAATAGTAAAATAATTGTAATAATTTGTTATTATTATTATGCAGAAATACAAGAAACAGTCTTTAGAGCAATATAATATTACATAATCTAAAACAGAATAATAATAATTATTATTATTATAGTAATTATGCAAAAATACAAGAATTTAAAACAGTCTGTTAGATCATTATTATTATTATGTGATCTAAAATAGCAAAATAATAATTACTACTATAATAATTACTGTTTTTAATGTACATTTGATTAAATAAATGCAGCTTTAGTGAGCATAAGAGAATTCTTTTTCAAAAGCATTGAGAGAATCCTTTGAACATGAGTGTGGATGCGGATCTGACTGATGTCTGGTGTCTCTGTAGGTCACAGTAAAGCGGTGCGTGACGTTTGCTTCAACAACACTGGCACACAGTTCCTGAGCGCCGCCTACGACAGATATCTCAAACTCTGGGACTCAGAGACAGGTGAGAGCTTCACACAAACACAACAACAGATCCCAGATGGATTCAGCCTTTTATATGTGTCCCTGGAGCACAAAAGCAGTGTTAAGTCGCTGGGGTATATTTGTAGCAATAGCCAACAATACATTGTATGGGTCAAAATTATCGATTGTTCTTTTATGCCAAAAATCATTAGGATATTAAGTAAAGATCAAGTTCCATGAAGATATTTTGTAAATTTCCTACCGTAAATATATCAAAACTTAATTTTTGATTAGTAATATGCATTGCTAAGAACTTAATTTGAACAACTTTACAGACGATTTTCTCAATATTTAGATTTTTTTGCACCCTCAGATTCCAGATTTTCAAATAGTTGTATCTCGGCAAAATATTGTCCTGTTCAGGTCAGTGCATCGCCCGCTTCACCAACAGGAAGGTTCCCTACTGCGTGAAGTTCAACCCGGATGAGGACAAACAGAGCCTGTTTGTTGCTGGGATGTCGGACAAGAAGATCGTCCAGGTACCAAACCGAGAGCCGAGTGTCAGTGTCTACGTTTACATGTGCACGCGTAATGCGATTATTTGCAATAATCAGAGTAAGGACTTAAATGGATACTCCACCCCAAAATGAAAATGTTGTCATTAATCACTTACCCCCATGTCGTTCCAAACCCGTAAAAGCTT